ATCAAGATGCAGCGTACAGCAAAGTGACTCAGGAGCTCAAAAATATAATAGAATATGACAGAAAAGACAAACCAGCTTATTAAGGTAAGAGTTAGAAAAAGTTGGAGAACAAATAAAAATGGGAAAAGCAAACAAACAAATGTGACTCCATAATATGAAGGAAAATGATTTTGGACACTTAAGCTGTTCTTGATCACTCTGACATTAAAATCAAAACTTCAACAAGCTGCAGTCACACGTTATTTGATGGAAAGCTTGAATAAAATGTATTTCCATTGTCTGAAGTTTCATATCTTTGCTGTGCCTTTTAAAACATGTTTACATGCTGTTATTCTCCTGATCGTTTTCCCTACAACAAAGTTAGCTGCTAGCCAGCTAACGTTGACATGGCTCCAGTGACCTCTAAAGATTTTTTTTAAACATTCATATAAGAAACACTTAGAAGTTTATAAAACACATATATTTCAACAAGAATTAGAACTAATAATAAGTTTGTTTTTTATACCTGTAAAGGAAACGAAACCTTCCCAGTATTCACTCTGCAGCACCGTGTATCTGACGTGCGGTGACAGAATTGTCACATGACGAAGTCTGGGCGCATGCGTCAGTTACGGCCTCCGCGTACACGTCGCTACGCCGCGGACATGGCAGGAGTTGGAGGTGTGCGGAGAAAGTCTCCCGTTTCCCCGTCCCCGCTGTGGGGGAAACTCCATACGCTTTGGCAGGACAAGTATTTGCTCTTGTTCAAGACGGAATACACCTTGCTGGTGGTTTCAGTTTTGTGGTTCCTGGAGATCGGCATCAATGTGTGGGTCATACAGAAAGTAGCATGTAAGTAGCTGGTCGACTAGTTAGCACGCTATTGTATTTTGACGTTTATCTGAACGCGGCTGAAGGCTAAGTAGCTAGCGTCAGAAAAGTATTAGCTTAGCCTGCCACCTGTCAAAGGGAATTTACTGTCACTGCATGACCAAATACAATGGTTTACTCTCTCCCAACGTCAAATAACGTCCATTACTTTTAAGACTATATACAACCAAAGGTAGCTGTTTCAATAGTAAATACAAGAAGTAAACTTCTAAAGGCATAGTAACTGCTCACTTTTTACACGTCCACATACAAGACGGAACTGCAACAGAAAAATACCAATAATATTTTCTCCTTCTTAAATTGATTGTTTGTTCTGGTTGAGTTGTCTTTTCCAGAACCTATCGTCATCACTGAGCATGACTATTGAGCATGCATCAAGATATTCACATCCACATGATCATCATTATTAATATTATTATGTACTGCAGACACTGAGATCGACTGGAAAGCATACATGGATGAAGTGGAAGGAGTTATCAATGGCACCTATGACTACACCCAGCTGAAAGGGGACACAGGCCCTTTGGTGTGAGTTTCAAAATGATGTAGTTCTCTCCATACCACGCTTTTCAGTGCAGGTCTCCTAGATAATTTGGAACACTGTTGTTGTAGGTACCCAGCTGGGTTCGTCTACATCTTCACAGCTCTCTACTACATTACCGGCCATGGGGTGAACATCCGTCTGGGCCAGTACATTTTTGCTTTTTTCTACCTCCTCACACTGCTGCTTGTCTTCAGAATATACTATCGCACCAAAAAGGTGAGCCTAATGTTAATACTAATGTGCCAGGAACCCTATATATTAAGCAGCATGTCATTTTGCTAAAACGCTCATTGAAACATGGGCGTGTCCTTGTGTGGAATTCAACTTTTATACCCTACAGAAACAAAATTTAATGTTATTTTCAGAATATTCTCACACATTAATTTATTAGTTTTCTGTTGCATATCTGGCTCTGGGTTCCAGGGCCAGAACCACAAAAATACTGAGACCTCCCTTTTCCTCTGCTTGCAGCTCTTCTTTTTCTGAGCCACTTGCAGAATTAATCTCTTTAGCGTTTCTTCTAATAATTAATCTCACAAATAATTAAATCTCCTTCTTTTTTTCTCCAGGTTCCTCCCTATGTGTTCTTCTTCGTGTGCTGTGCATCCTATCGGATCCACTCCATCTTTGTGCTCCGTCTCTTTAATGACCCAGTGGCCATGATGCTGCTGTTTGCAGCTGTCAATCTCTTCATAGATGGATACTGGACTCTGGGCTGTGGCCTCTACAGGCAAGTGTGCACTCTTCTTTAAAGCGGATACTCATTTATTGGCTTCCCCTAAATCAACAAGTGGCACCTGGACATCTTTAATGTGTTACATACCTTCTACATTGTCATTGTTAATTTTTCCTGAGAGTAGCAAGATGAAATTACAACTCAATCTTTTCCTCTTTCTGACAGTTTAGCAGTATCTGTGAAAATGAACGTGCTTCTCTTTGCCCCTGGATTACTTTTCCTCCTCCTGTCAGAGTTTGGTCTAATGAAGACGATCCCCAAGTTATCGCTGTGTGCAGGCATACAGGTAAATATACACATTAAAACAGGTACAGCTTGACTGTAGTACTCTGTCCACAGTAAATTTTAGCAAATGACTGTATTTTGCTAACATCATCTCTTTCTTTATCTTATGTGGCAGGTTGTGTTGGGGCTCCCTTTCCTCCTAGAGAATCCCGTTGGTTACATGAACCGTGCCTTTGATCTTGGCCGCCAGTTCATGTTCAAGTGGACGGTCAACTGGCGCTTCCTGCCAGAATGGCTCTTTTTGAATCGCTACTTCCACTTACTTCTGCTGGCCGCTCATCTGCTCACCCTGCTGCTCTTTGCCTTCCGCCGCTGGAAGAGGTGAGATAGACTTTGAATGTGCCAGGGATACACTGGGAACACTGTTTTCTTTTTACATTTATAAATGCTTTGCATGATAACATACTGATCAAAACCACATCATTATGACAATGCATGACAGGTGTCATGAAAAAATGGAAGGCGATTTCAGCAGGATTGTCACTACTTTATACTCTGCAGAGACATTTAGGCCACAAGGAAATCCAATTGATTTCTAGTAACAGCACTAAATGGTTGTTGGTATTTCAGGGTTCTCATCAGTCAGCAGCGGAAACCTTTTTATGTTTTACTAATACACACGTACCTCCTAGATCTCTAAAATGGCAAATAACCATATTCTGTCTGTGGCACCAGACCAGGAGAAAGCATCTTTGAACTTCTAAAGGAACCAGGCAAGAGGAAAATCCCAGCTCAGAAAAGCACTGTGGATCATATCCTTTTGTTCCATTTCAATCTACTCCTGTCTTTAATGTGAAATATATTTTTAAGTAAGTCTGTTGTTAGATGTTAATATGAATCTGCAGGCCTTGTTGACAGAATGAAAAAAATCATACAGAAAACTCTTCTCAGCAAGATTTGTGGATCTTAATTATTTTGAGTAACTGGGTCAAGATTTCTGGACAGAGAACCAAAAACTTAGCGCTTAAAGTTCCACTGTATTCAAGAGGAGACAGACATAGAGTCACAGGAAAAAGAAGGTTTTCTCTTCCAAAACTCTGCAAAAACAAAAAAACTTGTGGTGCTACTTGTTGTGGGAAACCTGGTGACAAGTGAGCACCTGAAATTAGCTTTGCTTTGAACATTCTCTTTACAGGACACAGGACATGGTAAAACAATGCTTAGCAGATTTTTTCATATGATCTTCCAGACATGCCTTTTTTTGTCCTTATCTGAAAATCACAGATTGTGCTGATTCTGTTTACCTCTAACTTCATTGGCATGTGCTTCAGTCGCTCATTGCACTACCAGTTTTACGTCTGGTACTTCCACTCGCTGCCTTACCTGCTGTGGAGTGGAGGTGTCAAGAAGCTGGCCCATCTGCTCAGGTGAGACAGAATCATAAGTCCTGAAGCATAGCACCTCCCTGAACACTCTGCCACATCTTAATGAAAAACTGTTTTATTTTTGCATGCAGGGTCCTGATCCTGGGTCTGATCGAGCTTTCGTGGAACACCTATCCCTCTACTAACAGCAGCTCAGCTGCCCTTCACGTCTGTCACCTCATCATCCTGTTATGTCTCTGGCTAGCTCCACCTTTGCTTTCAGCTGCAGCAGAAACACAAGAGCAGAAAGCTGTTAAGGACAAACGCCACTGAGCCCCGGCCTGATCGGACCAGAAGTATTATTCGGCCGAATCAGCTGACGACAAGCCCGCTCCATCCTCCTGTCTTTGATCCTGACAGCACCAGTGCAAAGGGCGGTCGCTGTGGTAGACTGTTTATAAGTGAATTAAAGGAGCCATTTAAAGCTTCTCACTGCTTAAAGTGAAGGATGCGTCATGTGTGTGCAGACTGATGCCCACACGATGGAATAATATGCAGTTGCAGAGATAAGAAGAGAAAATAAGAATTCTCAGGTTTAGTTTTAGATAGAAAATAAGAAGAGTGGAGGCTATGAGAATGTCATGGATGTTATGCTGTGTGGAAAGAATTGATTACATGAGCTCTATTCCCACTTACTGTGGTACAACTACACTCAGTCCATAATTCCTCTGGTCTAGTCATGTAGGCTGATATCATCTCAAGTTTTTATTTACTGGTGCTCAGATGATCGTATATTGAAAATGTCAATAATGTGCATAAGAACTTGAACGCCAAGCTTTAAAATAACTGCATAGCAAGCGTAAGCTTGTGGCATTTCCTCTGCCACAGTTATGAAACATAAGTATTCTCTATCGAAGGGGATGTTTTTTTGTATTTTTACACAAATGTGTAAAAGTCAGCTGTGGACAATCAGTCTGTTTGTCTGATTTCTGTAACTTGTCATCCTCTTTTGTGAGTGGCCGCACTCATAGATGGATTTAATGTGAGAAACATGCAGTAGACTGAAAAACGCCAAATGGATTCTACTAAACCCGTGTGGTCTTCATTGTTACACAATACAACAAATGGTTGGATTTTAGTGTGTTTTTTATTATTTTTACCAACAATCATTTCACTGTTTAAAGCTCATCTTTGTTTAATTTATAAAATAATCATCTTGATAATCAAAATCTTCATTTTACAGTAACTGTGATTACATATTTGGTATAGTAGTATATTATACTGGCTGCAAACTAAAAGCTAGACTACAAAAAGCCCATTTAGATGATAAAGGCATATTTGTGATTGCATAAAGCACACTGATCATAAAAGGCCTCCTGGTCTATGGCATGTAGTATTAGAATGAACTTGGCACTGCCTAAGTTAATAAAACACGATTTTTCCATGTAAAGGCATTTAGAGTCACTATCATTGGGGAATGGTGAGAATGCTAACAATCAGAGTTGGCTTGGTTTCCTCTGAGACGATTGTCTCACATATTATTTGGGTTATAACACAGCATGTTCAGCTGAATGTTCTCATCCCAGTGGCGCAGCAGCAGGAACAGCTGTCTGGCTGCTCCCTTAAGCCCTGCCATGTCCAGTCCCTCGGGCAGCTTCTGACAGCGCAGCCATGAGTCTGCTTTTGCTGCTACCAGTTCCCACTCCATAAAGTAGCCGGCACACCGGTGCTCTAGCCACGCTAGGGCCACAGCTGTGGCCCAAGTTGAGCCCTCCAGATCCTCTTGAGCCAACTGGCTGCTCCCTTGGAGGTAAGCTTGCTCAGGTGTAAAGCCTTCATATATATCTGTCTCTGACCCACGGCCACTGTCTGCTTGGCCGAGGTTCTGGTTCTGAAAGGGGCTGATGGATAACTCCAAAGAACCCTCTTCAGAGCTGGGGAGGTCAGTGGGAGAGGTGACAGGGTCTTGTTCAGAGAGGTATCTTCGGCGAAGCCTCGATTCCAAAATTAGGGGAGTATCATCTGGAGTGTGGTGGAAAGGTGGAATGGCTGGTCTGACAAAGGAGCAAGCGGAAGGAGAGAAGGTAACGTGGTGACCAGAGGGAGCACCAGGAGGTTTGGCACTAGTGGACAAGGATGGAGCACTGGGAGATGTGCAGCGTAAGGCTGGGCTGAGACTACGGCGGTGGAGACTGTATGGCGATGCTCTTTTAAGGCGGTCCAGAGGAATCTGGACACAGTCAGAGTAGATCTCAGTCAGAAGAAAAGCTCCTGATGCCAGCTGCAGATGAACCTGAGGAGTCATAACAGACATGGGTAATGAGCACACTTGAAGATGAGTGCACAGTATTACGATGCTGCAAATGCACTTTGCCTTTAACGTGGCAGTGTTTCTCTTTTGCACACTATTTGTCATAGCACGTGGTTTAACTTTCCAAAGTTCTTCTGCCTTTAAATGTTGACTGACTCCAGGAGTTTGCAGAATGAATTTGGGAGCTGATGGTATGTATTGTGTGCTGGGTAAACAAATAAAGTGGACACAACTTTAGCACTTCACTGTTTTCCATGTTGGCACAGCTCACCAGGGGCAGGTAGTCTGGAGCTTCACTTTCAGGATGTTTCTCAGTCTCGGCAGATAAGCAGTGGGACTTGACAGGCACCTGCTTTCCTGATGAAATGGAGGACCTGAGCCTGCCCAGCGGGAACCTGGAATTAAAAAAAACAAAACAGGTACGCTAAAAAAAAAAAAAAATCTAACATTTAAAGAGAATGCAATTTGCCAGTGGAGATGTGGGAGTTGTGCGTACAGGGCCGAGTTGTTTTCACATATTTAGTAACTCTTAAACTTCAGTAAATGGCCCATCATTCACTCTCAGGACATTTACAGATGTGGGTAAACAGAGTGGTGATGCTGTGGCTCATTTCTTACATTTAAGTTACATGTGCACAAACAGGAGTGTATACATGAACAACTTTAAAGTAGGAGCTTTTCAAGAAACTACAGTATTTGTTTTCGTGTCTTACTTCTTAGGGGTTTTTAGCGCCTTTTAGTCCTTTCATGCTGTTTATTTTATTGCATCTTTGTCAGTCTCACACAAACTGTTAAAAGAGTTTAATATGAAAGTCTTACCTGGTGCCAAAGAAGCTCTCCATTGACTTGCTCTCTATAGAGCGCTGTGAGCGAGTGCTCGGGGTGCCTGTTGCCATGGCTGTAGTGTAGTAGGAGCTGCCCCCTACACCTGGGATGACATTAAAACATTAAATTGTATTGTTTTATCAGCTCAGTGATAAAAGTGGTGTTTTCTGATTGTGCTTAAAGGCTCAGCTCATCCAGATTAAACAAAACTGATCACAGGTCTTTTACATGGATCTGGAACTAAATGAATAAAAGCAAATATGTCTGTGCGATTGGATACCAATAAAGTTAAGGAAGATTTATTTAGATGAACTGATCCTTTAAGAGCTTCTTCACAAGTCGTGTGTGTAATGGAGTCGGGGGAGAGGGGTCCTCCTTTTTCTCCTTCTCACCACAGCTTTCTCTTCAGAAGCCTCGATCCTCGAGACTACTTACACCAGAGTTTTCCCTGAGCGAACGGACAGCAGTACTTACTAGAGTCCCAGGATGTTACACTACAGGGTGAGGCAGGAGTGTCATCTCTGTCTGAGAGATACAAAGATTGTTGATGACCTAAAGTCTTGATAACAGAAATGGGTGCTGGCATCATTCGGTCGTTCTTACCTGTAGAGTTCCAGGTGTCTTCCACCTCTGCACTGTCTCCAGTGGTGTGCCGTCTGCCCAGACCTACAGAATAAGTCCTCTGCCTACGAATGCCTGACTGAAAAGCCTGCCTGTTTCCCAAATGTAGCCCTGCAGACACACACAAATTAACAGAACAGAATGTGGACCCTTAAAAATATCAACTGAATCCAACAATAAATAAAAATAACATATAAATGGTGCTTCTGTAATTCACTTAGCACTGTTTTCCTTAAGTTAGAGAATTCAGAAGAGCTATTGATTTTCCTTCCGTCTGTCCGTCCATCCCTCCATTATCCAAATCAAGGTCAGGGGGATCAGACAGAATTATACAGACCTGTTACTGCCAAAGTCTTTCAAGCTGCATGCTCTAAACTTGCATACACATAAAACCAGGCTTCAAAGAGAAGACAAATTCTAATGCTTGATTCCTCATAACACCAATGAGAAGATCAGGATTGTTCTTTACAGATATCTTATTATCATTGACAAGTAAACAAAACTTCCTGGATGAAAGTTGAGCTGAGAGTTTATTCTGTGTATGTGTGTTGGTGGGTGGCACACCTGTGGTTTGCACATCCATGTCAGCCAAGCCTTTGTTGGGATTGCTGTCAGTGGTGGTGAAGGCTGTGTACATACAGATGATGTTACAGTGCTTACTTGTCTGGATAGCCTTTGTACGATATCGCTTCGCTGAGCCTAAGAAGCCATCAAACAGAGGAATAGTAAGAGATGCACAGTAGTTTGGAGATAACGGCACATTAATCAGTAGGAAAAAGCAACCGGTAAACCGCCCACCATGTCCAATGTCGCTCTCTTTCTCTGCCATTTTCTCAAAGTCTCTTATAACTGAGCGAGCGGTCAGTTGGTGAATGATCTCCTGCCACGATTTCCCTCCTCTTCCTTCTTCACCTCCCCTTCCATATACCCCACTTACTTCAATGTCCTGACTCTCAGGGGTCCAGAGGTGCCCCAGGTCTACAGTGACCTCCCAGGACACAGGCCTGCCACTCAGGACACCATGAATAAGGGAACGGCACTGGCCTGGGGGAGGACTGTCAGGCGGGACAGCAGCGAAGAGATACTCTGGATCTGTGAAACTGTCCCAGTCCAGAGGGGAGGCGGGAAACAAGAGTCCATCTAAGGGGCAGAGCGAAAAATAGGATAGAAATTTTACGGGACTGAATAAATAAATATGATCCTATTTTCTTTGCAGTGAAACTTACTGGAGTCGGTGAGGCTTCTGTGGGACGCTGTCCCTCGTGGTGTTGGCTTTGTCTCCCCGTCACTTTCTTCCAGCTTCCCTCCCAGTGTTTGGTCAAAGGAGACCCTCTCCAGAGCCCTTCTCAGCCGATGCATCTCTAATTCACCCTGGGGGGACGAAAAACTTCGCGCTGCCATCGTCGAACGTGCTAGTGCTTTTTGTCTCCTACGAGACTCCTCAGCTCCATCCAGACACCCGTTCTGGTTGTAAAAAGGGGACAAGCAAAGGGAAGTAGGTTTGGGTATCATTTTGTTTTTCTCTGCAGTATGTTAAGGTCATTAGATTGAAATGTATTTGCCATGTTGCAAGAATAACTTTGCAGTGACCTCCTGTGATATACTGACTGTGTGCTTCAGCTGTGCATGACTCAAATAAGCAGTCTTTTTAATTGATATGATCTTTCTTCCAAAGGAAAGATAGAAGTTTATAGTTATATATAGTTGTTATATTTTCATGTCTTGTTTTGTCTGTGTGTTCCCAATTACTTACTAAATTCCAAAAAAAAAGTCTGTCAGTCTTTAGTCTTACTTTTTTGGTCCCGCTGTCTGGGGATTTGACTGAAAGGTCTTGCTGCCACGATGAGTCTGCCCAGCGAGACAGGGATGATCTCTGTTCTGGAGGGGGCATCTTCTCGAGGCCTTGGGGCAGAGACCCTGTATCGAGCACTGGACCAGAGCAGTGACAGCTGGAGAGAAAGGCCCCGTCAGAATTTGAGGCATGTATGTGAGAGTGGGACTGCGTTTGTAGACTTCGTTCACTGCTGAGTGAGCAGCGAGTGAGGATGTACTGCTCCTGAATGTAAGAGGTCTCCTGGATCCTCTTCCTCACATCGCTGGACCAGTCCAACTCCACACCTATAGTGGACAAAAGCCTGTTGTTAGCTACTGTGGTTTAAAGTGTGCTGGCAAATGTAAATGTTCGTGATGAGTGACCAACCTGGACTGGTGCCTGTGTCTGTGTCTTTGGCACAGGAGAACTCAGAGGATATCTCTCTAGAAATTTCCCTCAGTGCTTCCTCCAACTCAGTGCCATCTGCACATGTCACCACAGGCATGAGCTCAGAGGCAGGAGGAGGTGAAAGCTCATCGTTCGACTGGCCAAAAACTGAACCCGTAGAACCACGAAGTAAATCTTTGTAGCTCTGTTCCTGAAGCAAAAAAATAAAATGCAGTACTGTGCAAAAATATGGGGCCAACCCTCACTTCTGCATATTTTGGTAGAAAAACTGGAAATGGCTTCAGCAATGTATTAAAATATACATGTACAAAAATACAGCTTATAAAGCAAAAAGAAAGAGTTTGAAACTCATTAGAATTCTACAAAGTCAATATTTGGTATGACGATCTTTTTTTCTCCAACATAGCCTGAACTGTCTTTGGCAGCGTTCTCATAGGTTCTCTAAGTAATCTTCAGGAATAGGTTTCCAGGTGCAAAAATAATACTTTATCCCTGCCAAACTGTGTTATCTTTGACATTTGTCATAGATTCAACTAAAGGAATGGGAACAAAGTGCCTAAAGATACAATTTAACATTTGTTCTTTGCTAAGTTGTCTGTTATGTGGAGACACAAGACTGGTTCATCCATTTAGTTTGGTGTGTTATTTATGATTGAATGATTCATAGGTCAGTTATAGCTCTAAAGTTGGTCAGCTACAAGGACTGGACTAACAATGAGCGAAAAATCAGCAAATGTCCAAAGATAAACTCTGCAAGAGTTTCAGAAACCCTGGAGAACTCTAGCTCAAGAACACTGTAAAAATACAATAACATTTGACTCACTTGAAGCAACATAAACAAATAAGTGCTGACTTAAAATTTTACATGGTAATGCACACAGAGTAATACCTCTGCCTTTTTTGCTTTGAAACTGGTCATGTCGTAAAGCGTGCAGTATCCTATGAGGCGATTCCCGGGGTAGAGTGGAGGGATTTCATTGGGTGTAAGAAGAGCTTCCATGTTTTCTGGCAGATACCAGTCGATCCGTACGTCAGTCAGAACAGGTTCAAAGGCCTTCTTCAGGGACTTGATTAACTGTTGCAGAAATGGGGAGAAGAAGTAAACTTATCAAACTAATTAAAAAAACACTTCTCCCGAGATTTGTCATAAGCTAAAAAATTGGTAAACTTAAACTTATACATGTATATCTTCAATGGCTAACAGTTGTTAAACTAACTATAAAAGCCATACTATGAAAATACTAAAGTAAAATAACTCTAAATTATACTTAAATGCTTGAGTAGTTATTACACTTTACAACTGCTAGTTGCTTTTCTCTATGCTGAAATGCTAATGTAATGCCCCAAGGTTTACATATGTATTCTTTCAAGACTTTGCTTTTAATTAATTTGCAATTCTTTTCACTCCAATAGGTGGCAGTGCTGCAGCGCTGCTGACCTTGGGCTGGAGTCTCTCCTCATCATCCAAGAACTCTGTAGTCCCTCCTGTCAGTTTGGCAACGTCCTGCAGGAGTCTCCTGCAGGCTCGTGGACCAAGGCCTAAGCCAAAGCATCTGCAAAGGTGATACAGTGTGTACATTACATTTTTATCACGTCACAAGAGAAAATTTAATTATGATATTAAATTGTGGATGACTTTCACTGTTTGTGTTATAACAGTTTATTTTTTATGTCTATTGAAGTAGCCTGAAAATAACCTAAAATGTTGCTTCTATGTCGCTTACAAATAGAAAATGTAGAGTCATCAAACAGACACTGGTGGAGATCACCGGCCATTTGGCTAGCTAAGAGTTTAAATGGCTCAGGGGACGGAATAATTGAAAAAGGCTGAGTTCTTGAGCAGCAGTCTGGCTGGCTAAATATGGAAACAGAAGCTCAAAATGATGTACAACACCTTCTCAGCTGCAGACTGCAGTGAGATGGCAATCTAATTAACACTGGGCAGAATTAGATGTTTTCCATAAGAATAAAGAAACGAACAAACGTGTTCATAGTTTGCTAAAGGACAGCGAAAAATTACAGTGGAGAAAGTCAGTCCGACAGGCGAATACTAATAAGGCATAAATGGAGTCATTCTGCATCTGGGGAAAACCAGAGGGGCGTGACTCTTACTGCAGAGGAGAGCACTTAACGGGATTACTGGGCGGGGCTGAAAAATACTTCAAGCCTTTCTTTTCTTTCTTCCACAGAGCTTTGCTCTCAGGTCTTTATGATCACTGTTTGCTTGGGTCCACGCTCTGTTTCTCTTGCTGTCCTCCCCCATATACTGTCTCTGTCATGTTATTCACCTGGTTCTGCCTCCATTCACTCTCCTTTACTTATCTCCTGCTTCCTAACCTCACTGATTTAATGGTTTATTTAATATTGCATTTTTATTAACCAGCTGTTGCAACTATTGTCAGTTTTATCTGTTTCTTGTCATGATAGATAACTAGCTGCTCCCTCTGTACCCTCCTTCGCACATGATATCCATACCTGCCAGCACACACGTTTCTGCGTACTAGCTCCAGCACTCTAGCTACATTGCTGATGGATCCATCTGTAATAATAAAGACCTGGCGAGGGTACGAGCGCTGCATGGGCTGTTGATAGACCCAGAAGAGCGCCCCCAGCAGATTGGTGCCTCGCATGTCAGCTCTCATCCTCTGGACGTACTCGTAGGCCCGAGTTAGTGTGACCTGAACGTAAACACACAAGTGATTAAAGTGGGGATGCAATCAGATCCTGAGTAAAGGAGGGAGAAGCAAACAACTCCTGTCGAACCGCAGCGCCTGTGCAAACATGTTGCCAGGATAAATTTACTGTTTGTTATCAGATGCACTAATTAGCCTGTGAGGGAAGCAACAAATTAAATCAACCCTTCTCTAATAAAGACAGCACAAACAAACACACATTAGCACCTGCCTTAAAATGACCTCAGTTCACATGGTGGATAAACATAGCTGTCAGAGCAGGAGATGGAGGGACACGTCCTGCCTAAGTGAAAATGCATGAAAGGCCACCATATGGCGAGGAGAATGTGGAAAGACTGTTTGTGCTTGCAGCCCCGGGTCTGGATAAAACCTGATACTCTGCTACTAAGGCAACCCAAGAACTGACCTATTGCCTGATTAGAGAGTAGAAAACAGAACAGATAGTCCTGAACGACTGAATGACATTTTGTGTTCAGAAAAACATCATCCAAATGCTCCGTGTGTTCTCGTTTACTGGAAGGGATTCACAGATATCATGAAAAACACTGAAAATCTTTTAAAAATACCCAATTCAGGGGCAAAGCTCACTAGGTAATACTGACATCAGTGCAAAGCTTGCTGGAGGTGAACAGGGGCTTGATGGTGGTACCAAATCCCACAATGTTGAGCATTGTGCCAGAAGGTAGACTCTTGAGTGCCACCACCATGGCTTCCTGTCAGAATAAGAAAGCATATACAGGATGGAGCCAGAGTCATATACATATATATACATTCTCAAATCTGAACTTCATGTTTTATTTGCATGCTTTTGACTACTGCTCACTTTCACACGCTGGATGTTGGCGCCACTCATGCTGCCACTGCGATCAATGAGAAACAGCAGCTCCCTGGTGGCTTTGTGCACTTCCAGAGGTTCACGCAGCAAGTCGGGGCAGAAATTGAGCATCAACACGGGGCTGCACAGAATGTCTTTGTGGTATCGCTTCCTGACAAACTCCAGCTGCAGGCGAAGAAGGAAAATCAGCAATGAAAGCTTAATGTCTTGAGAAAGGTGTATTTAAATGCTTGACAGCAGGAAAAAATGAACAAACCTTTCTTTCAGGTTCTGAATCCTTGCGGGTGCATCGGATGAAATCTCGACGGGAGCAGATTTGCTGTTCATATTGGCTGAAGGAGAGCCTGCCTCTCTCTAAGATGACCAAGGGGCTGTGAGGTTCTGAGGAAGGGTTTAAAAGTCAGAATAAAAAGAAAATCACAGCAATGAAAAGTTCAGACCTTCCCAAACCACTTTGTCATCGCTCACCGCTGAGGTGCAAAATAATCTCTATGTGTCTGTCATAGGGATGCTCCTGTGCCAAGGTGATGTAGGTGGCAGAGGCACTTTGGGCACTTGGATCTGCATCTGCCCTCAGAGCGTGAGTAGGGCTCTCCAGTCCTATCAATAAAGAGAGGCAAAAAATGAAAATCAGTAAACATATTACAATGTTTTGAATGAGTTAATTTTTCTTTACAGCACACACTAGTGAAGATTAAATCTGTTTCATCATCTGGCTGTGTTTGGACTGAGATCGCCTATGAAGCTATTCATTTTATTCAGTAATGAGATTGCCTGCTATTCTCATATTTCATAATGGTTGAGATGAAAACCACTGAATCAGCCTTATTTGAGGAGACGGGCAGTACCAGCCAGCAGACAGGCCCCTCTGACCAGCAGCTGGAAGTTCAGCTCATAAGGTGCCAGGTTGACAGCTGGGCTGGTGAAGATGGCGTGCGCACACTGCTGCTGAGAGTGCACGATCCGATCTTGTTTTCCTGAGGTGGCACCAAAACAACTGGTCGCCCTACAAAAACAAGAAAAAAAAGGCGCACAATGGGAAGTTTTTTAGGAAAATAGTATGAAAGAAGTGGGGGGAAAAATCAGGAGTCCACGTCTGATAAATACCCAGTTTCATCAGACTTCCCTCCACTTTCACTCTTGCTTGGAGTCATTTTCCCAGTGACAAGCGGGGTAAGGAGTGTGGGGTAGACGATCCGAATGGCTCCGTTTTCTAATGTGGGAAGTTCTAGTGTCGTGCTTATGATGATCGACACTATATCCATGGGGCCAATGACTCCGGTGCCCACGATGAAAGTGGTTCTCTCCAGGTCCTCATCCAGGATCAGATGTCCTAAAGCCCAAAATACAATGTTGTGTTAGAACCTTATGTTAAATTTTCAAGACTGTCTGCGACATCATTAATAAATATGAAAATACATGTAGATGAATGTGAAAAGAGCACATGATTAAAAACCTAGCACACAAACGCACATTAATTGCTGGTATTTACTCAGAATAATCCATCACCATCAGCTGAATTAAATAAACTGTTCTGTGGTCTGCAGTTAAGTAGATATGTTTCTACTAAGTGAATGCCGTTACAACATTAGGCAGGAATCCAGATCAGATGGCCTTCCTCATCTGACACAGAACGGACTTACCGTACTGAAGCCACATTATTACTGCAGCATCAGTACACAAATGTTTTGCAGTTATATAAAACATTTTTATTATAAGCTAAAAGCCGATTTTATTGCTTTAGTGTCATGCAGCATCAGCATCAGCATCAAGGGCTTTTCAAACTAAATATATGCATTTCACAAGTGTAAAGATGGCTTTTTCAGATAGCCCTCTCTACGTCTGCGCTAGACTGTCTGCAAGGAGAGAAGCAATGAATCATGTCTGCAGCAGTATCCATAAATAATATTATATATCATTTATAATATTATATATATTTAAATGCAAGCTGGTATAACTCTAATGTTTATTCCTTACAATTCTGAAATTGTATCAGAGAAAAATGTAACAACTTCAACATAATATTTTTGCCTTCACAGCATTCTTCCATCCTCCCCCTCACCATTGGTGCATTGCATGTCTAGACTGGGGCTCCCACAGCAGCCCCACTCCAGGCCATTCCCTTCAAGACCAACTCCAGGGCAGCAATCCAAACAGCAGTCCTTTAACTTTCCTCGGCTTTGGATCTGGACCCCAACCAACCGGCCTGCGATCACGGCTTCAAAGCCCACCACAACCTCCTTTTCACCGAGAGGGTATATGAACACACCTGGATGAAGGTTACAGACACACAAGCTGCTAAGACACATAAAACTGAAACAGGCTTTTGCTAAAGAAATGTTCATAAGTAAAATAAGTACAGTAGATATTTCTAAGATCGGGGGATCTGGAGCCAGTTGCATACCTTAAGTTCTCTTCTTAGGTAAGACATAATATGGAAAACCTTAATACGTTTCTTTTGTCAGGATACTAGTTTAGCTCGCTGGGTTGAATAGGTGACTGAGCTGTTGTAGGGTTTATGGAAGAGCCTGGGTTCAAATCTACCCTTGAGATTGGTCACTGTGTGTCTTTCTCCCAGCTTTCCTTAACCAAATTTCCTTCAAAGAACAAGATAGTTTTTCACTGAAAGATATTTTTCAGCAGTAAAATAAACAACAATTGCTTTGCTTTTTACCTTACATTTTGTGCTAAGTTTACTCTGTCCTAAAGGAATGAATCCCACAAACACATTTGTTTTTTTTTTATTTCCTCACTTATTGTAATAAATCTGGCTATACTGTTAAGTTAGAGTCAGGGCTACCTGAGGTCTTTTCTTCTTCTTACTTGGTAAGTTAGGTCTTTTGTGCATCACTTTGACTGGCTGTAAGGTATTCATTAAGTAGAAGATAAGCAGAAAATCTTACTTGAATAAAGTAAACACTTCAAGGAAAACTTAGGGAGAAGACTTAAAGTTGTTTTGTGCCATCAGCTCCTGCTGCGCTGCCTTCGTGACATATAATGTGTAAGACAGTGGCAGCTTTTTGAGCAAATTTAATAGGGGCAAAGCAAATACTATGTTTAGTCTTCTGGAACATTCATACAGGGGCTCCTGATTATTAAAGGAAGTAAAAAACTTGTCAGTTATTCTGAATATACAGAAAATTAATAGTCATACTACTATTGTATGTTTGCTTGTTTATTTCATCGAATGGCCAGTTTTGGTCATGTTGGTTTTAGATGTCTTTGATAATGATAAAGTACAAATAAACATGAAAGAGATTTGTTGATTTTTACTCTTCATCTTTACTTCAAAGTATCTGGTGTTCCTCACGGGCCAAGTCTTGTCCCACTCCCATTTTTAATCTGGGATTATCATTATCCTTTGCACTCAAAAACTCTTTTTCTTGTGTCTCATGGTATATTATAATATCACAGTTTAGCTACACTAAACTTGGCAGTTAGTACTCACCTTCTACAGACTCTATGTCAGCATTGGCATAGGTAAGGTGCGCAGTGATGCCCATGGAGCAACCATTAGCACAAGATTTGATGCAGGAGGCTTTGAGTAGCAGTGGTTCCCATGTAGAGCGGTTTCTCAGCCCCACCATCTTTTCTGTAAAATTAAGCCTCTGCCCTGCTGGTTGGATCAAAACACAGGTACACAAATGGCCAGCACAGACAGGAAGGAGAACATGTGAGTGTGCATTTAAATTCTCTCATTTTCTAGTCAGAGCACAATTACAATGATCCTTGTAAATCAGACCTGATTTTTGCTGCACAAATTAACACTAAACAAAAACAGATAAGTTCACAATTTTATGTGTATACACAACGCAGGCCATATATTTCTTGTTTATATGTGCAGGCAAATCAGTTATTGGCAATCTAACATCCTATCGTGTCTCCTCAAGCTCGTAGCAACCAACTGTGATAGCTGGAGTATAACAGGCTTGGTTAATCATTAACACTGCAGGTCAGCACTTGCTCCGTTATGCATCATGCCTAGCATTTGCAATCAGCTGCTAATCTCTATGCAAAGCCACATGTTCTTAAAACTGCAGTGCCATACTTCAGTCTTTTCTAACTGCAGGAAGAAATAATACAGTATTAAAACTTGTTAAGATATGTCCTAATTTTCATGTATGTAATTAAAACTGTACTCAATAAGTCTTCATGACTGATCACTTAATAACTGTAAGTGCAACAGGTGCTGAAACCTATGTGTAGCTTACTTAGTGAGTGGTAGGGTGAACTAAACTCTGTGTGTGTGTATGTACGTGTGTTTGAGTATGCACACATGGGTGCATTTGTGTGCGTGCGTCTCTGTGTGTGTGTGTGTGCTGTGATCAAGGTAATGGTGTGTGTGTGTTTGCTGTGATCAAGGTAATGGTCTTTTCACATCTACCTTTCTAACAAGATCAACAGCCTCCATCTGGCTACTGTGCTCTCAGTGCATAACAAGCAAATAAATGCCTGGTTTGTCAAAGTAGGGCAAAGTAATACTGCTAGAACACACGTGAAAGGAAAAGTACAACAGCGGCCCTCTTTGGGCTATTCAGAACAAGATCTCTGACAAAGCTAATGAATAATCTTGATAGAAGATCTGTTTAGGTTTATTGCTGACCAAAAAAAGTAAGACACAGATAATGACATCTTTACACAGTAAGTGTGTGCATGCATATAATACATATTGTAGAATAAAGATGAAAATTATGTATGCATGTACATATTAACCTTCAAGAGTTGTTCCTGAAACAAGTATGTGTGTATATATATATTTATATTATATAATATTGTATTTTCACTCCAAATGGAAAAATATATATATATATATATATATATTTGATATAATATATGAAATATGAAAACAAATACTGCAACATATCCTGTAACATATTCAGGTGCATGAAAAAGTCGTCATGGCACCCACTATTCAAACTGTATGCATTAAAAGTAGACTGAAATCTTAGAAAGTGATGATTCTGTGTTTGTTTGCCAAGATTTAATCAAGCAGTCCGGTGTTTGCAGTAGCAGAGGTGGTTGCGAATTGGCTCTGGGCAACACTGCAGTCTCCTCATGACAGTTACAATCCCCAGATAACAAGCAAAATAATCGTCCAGGAACACTTACTGTGCTGTGTCTGCTAATTTGCCTCTCTGTCCAGTCCCTGCATCACTCCGCCACCACATCTGCTTGCGGGTTTCCCAAGTGATACGTTAGGAGTTTTCCTGTTAACAGATACTGCTTTCTGCTCTCCCTCCCTCCCTCTCTGTCTCTCTCGCTCCCTCTTTCTGTCTCTCCTTGCCTCTGTCCATAAATCCAGCAGTTACCCTATAAAGAAAGTCAAGTCACAAAGCACTGTCATAAATGCATATGCATGAATGAACAACAAATATGGTACAAAGCTAATAGCTGATAAAAAACATCTTCATGTACAACTGATTATTTGGCCCATTCATGCATCTACATAAAGTCTGTACAAATGTGTTTTCATTGCCTGGCAACGCATTAAAATGACTCTTTCAGATTAACAACAGGTCTCACTGCTGCTATCAATCACCAGCATGCATCTCCACACGAACCCACATTTCCTGTTATGTGAAATGTCATTTGCTTACCTGCTTTGACCTGAGCCAAGGGGATGATCGGAAACTATGATCGGGAACCTGATGTTGAGGCAAAAGCTCAGATCGGTAAGTGAGGCAGAGCCTGCTTTTCATCCAGACAATTGGCCGTGATGGTAGCAGCACCATAATTCATGGCTAATGGTTTGGCTAGGGAGAGAAAGGGGGGGGTGATGTGTTCTGCCTCTCCCAACAGGTCAGTCAGAAGCAGCAGCAGCAGTAGGCATGGGAAGGTGACACCAAGGAAGGAACAGGTTTTTGTCCTCCAGTCTACATTTCAGTGGGTCTAACACCGCAAAGAATTAAAAAAATTAATTCAATCTGTCATCTGAGACCATGGTTTGAAATATGAATTTTACAGAATTTTAAAAAGTATTAAAAATGTGTTAAAAGAGCATCACAGTTGGGTTCATATCTAGTTAGACAGCGAAAGCAGTAAAAGTTCTGCAGTTTTGAATTTGACAGAAACTCTAACTATGCAAATTAAGCTCATTGTTATATAAGTATGCGAGGCGCCTTCATGAATGTAAAGAGGTTTTAGTTCAGGATGCAAACCTGTAACTCAAGAACAGAAAGGCCTGATTAAACTGCCAGGTGAAAACGGATGAACTTTAACTAAAAATAATGGGAAGAGTGTGCAGAGGGAAAGAATGACTGCAAATGGAACTGGGTCACTAATGTTCACTAATGATGCAAATTCTAATATTCATGAAACTAAATTTAGGGCATTAATCGCTGATCAGATTCAGTCAACTGCTGCAAAAGTGATAGTGTGGCGCCACACAACACAGGGGGATAGTGACAAACTGAACCAGGGGCTTCTTTAAGCAAAGAAATGTAACAATCTTAAAGCTTGGACGTCTTTTACTGTTTGCGAAACTGTAAGCAGAGAGACTCACTAACAAGCAGCAAAAAACAGCTGCAGAAAAGGCCTGGCAGAGCGTCACAAAAAAAAAAGCTGAAACTTAAAAAATGAAAACATTTCTGTCACTGCTAAACTTAATGTCACATATGTAAGCAGATATATAGATAGAACATTTTGCAAGACAAGTAACTGTATTCGTTTTATTGATTATTTGTTTATTTGCTTAGTTTTATCCACTACTTTTTGGCAGTTCAATGTAGGATATGTGTGTGTGTGTGTGTGTGTGTGTGTGTGTGTGTGTGTGTGTGTGTGTGTGTGTGTGTGTGTGTGTGTATGAGACAGAAAAGCAGACATACAAAGAGAAAGGAAGCAGGTAAGGTCAGCATAGTAGAGTACCATCTCCTGATAGTTCACCTGAAGAGCACTCTGTTTGTTTTTGATGTTCATGGGAAGACATGAGACACTGTACAATACTGTCTGTTTTTTATATCGCATCATTCTTTATCATTAAATTAATTAAACGGTGCATTCAATAAGCACATATTAAAATGCAATATTTGGATTTATTTATGATGAATACGAGTACATTGCTAAAACTCATTTTTTTGCTTGTGAATTGTACAACAGAAACACAAAGGCAGGTATAGGAAGAGAGCATGGGGTGATCTGGCTAACCTTTCTTCCCTGTGCCTTTAAATCCAGTGTAACTGTAATTGTGTGAAAATGTAAATGTAAAAATGTTATTAATATGTTGCATTTTAAATAAATGGTCACACTTGAGCAACCAAACAGTAATTAAAAAATCCCTATGATGTTCCTACAGCTAGCTAGCTTATTAGCTAGGCTAGCTTAGCTACTTAGCTGCGATGATTCTAGTTGCTCCTTTAGCTGACCGATATAGACTATATTCAGCCATACAAATAATATATTGAGTACACCTAAACTGAAAATAATTATTTTATTAAAATGGAAAAACGTGAAGTATTGTTTCTTTTCCAGCTATTTATTTATGAGTGACTTATGTATGTATGTATATATATGTATATACTATTCTTAGTTAGTGTATTGTCTGTCTTGTCTTAATGTTGGTTTATAATGGAGCACTATAACAAAAAATAATTTCCCCCAGGGATCAATAAAGTATTCTGATTCTGATTCTGATTATTAAATGTCTGCATATAATAACCCTTTCATATTAACTGTCAAGCTAACTCCATTTTATTAATACAGCAGATCTAAAACAACAGAAATTAATCCAGCCTAAAGTGTTGGATCAGAAGAAGCTGAAAGCTTTGCAGAGTCCAAAGATGCCGAAGCTGGAGGAAAGCATACAAGCTAACAGCTTAAGCTAGTTAGCTGTAGAAGTAAAGATGGATTTCTTTGAAGAAGCTTAAAATAAGAATAATGACATTGGCCAGTTAAGTAACTTTGTATTAACAATTCAAAGCAAAAGCAGTTTCTTACTTTATTATTTTTATCAATATAGTCTAAGGAACACAGTCACTTACAGGCTTTAAATATCTAACACAATCTTATATAAGTAGTTTTGTTTTTTCGGTTTCTGTTATATAAAAACTGAAGATTATAAATTGAACTGGATCTCAGCAGAGGGTAAATACTCTACCAGACTGAACTGCAGAGCTATTAAAACAGGAGGTTTCACTGCTGTGACACTAGATGTCAGTCTTTACAAAGCTGCTGCTTGTGGATTCTCTTCTTGCAGCCTGTCTCCTTTTTCAGCTGGCTGCTAGTCTTTTTTCGTTTTTGATGCAACAAAGTGTGGCCTTATTTCAGTGATCAGGAGCCCAAAGCACGCAGCACAGAGAAATACACATTTTAGAGACAGACTGCCCGTTCCCTGCAGGTACATGAACCAGAAGATGCTAAGTAGTTTCAAAGCATTTAGCAAAGGGTGACTGAAAGAAAAAGCTTTTCACCCCTCACATGTGGCTCCAAGGTCAAAGATACAGATTCAGAGTATCCAATTTCAAACCATAGCTAAGCACAGTTTTATATCTCCATGCCACTCTTTTAACAACTCCATCTATTTCCCTAAAAATGCAATATTTTATGAGAAGATCATGGTTGCGTGGTTGAATTATTATCAGGAAAGATGATCTGAGCTATGTTTCCACATAAACTTAATCAGCCATGTCATCATTCTCACTCCATTTACGTAAATTGGAGATTTCATTATCGAACAGTTGGTGGTTAATGTGAACTTAATGGCAGTTAATGTGATTGTTGAGGTCATAATAGATCTAATTAACAACATGTCTAACAATGACAGGCCTGTGCAGACGAGCTGCTTCTGCTTGACTATTGTCATGAGGTTCAAGTGTCTGTCTGTGCTGAAATGTTGGGAACCTCTTCTCCCTTGCGTACCCCACTGACCTAGATTTCAATTGTTTTCGGCTCGAGACAATGGGGGGGGGGGAATGGTTTCATAACTGAACACAATACCTGGGAGTTTTTCAACACGATTGTTGTTAATGTCGCATTGTAGTGTGAGTTTGTGCTGTGCTGTGCATTGTGCGTTTTCTCAATGTAACCTGCTCAAGCAGCCAACCACAGAAAAGCCTGTGAACCCCTCAGTAAATCATTTGTGAACTGTTCAGCAGATGATGTGCATCCATGTGCAGAGAAGCTAGTATATTCCTTGCTGCTTCTAACAGACCTCTCATATTTCCTCAATAAAACATTACTCTCCTGAGGAGTGTGGTGCTTTTAATATCGATTGCAGAGAAATATATTTTAGTCAGTGCTTCACTGAAGGCCTGAGACAGATGTAGACCACTGAATAACCTTAAATGCCAACAGGTCCTAAAACTATACCAGCTACACTGATCTGTCCTGAAAACTGGGGAAGCTAACAATCTTAAAGTAGTCATTTATTCACTAGACCACAATCTGATCTTAATTTTGTTTGTTATGTGATAATATACTTTTACTTTTAAAAATACTGTTTAAATCCTGTCTTTATTGCGTCACAGAAAAGTGAAATTTCCGTCCACTGTCTGGTTGAGTGCTGGAGTTTTAATTAAATTAAATTAATTTAATTAAAGCCCAGAGCTGCTAGTCAAATGCTTTTGATTCACTGTAAATCAGCTTAGGTGAGCACCTCTATAAAAGCAGAGGTAGTTTGCTGGTCTAAAATATTCAAGTGTGTGCTAACACAACACTGAGTAGGAAATACTTCATTATTGAACTTAAATAGGAAGGGTTATAAGGCCATTTCCAAGCCATCTGAAGGCCCTAATTCTATTGTGAGAAATATTATTCACAAATGGAAAACATTCAAGAGAGTCGCCAATTTTTCCAGGAGTGGACATCTCAGCAAATTCACCCATGCAGTGTTCAGAGAAACTGCAAAACATGAGCCATATCTCATACTCTACATGCCTCAGTTAGCATGTTAAATGTTAAAGTTCATGACAGCAGTTAGAAAAAGACTGAACAAGCTTGTTTGGAAGGATTGTCAGCAGAAAGCCTCCTAAAGAGAAAAAAAATGTCTTATGGATAGATGAGATCAAAGTGAAGATGTTTGGTCATGGTGCACAGTGCCACATTTGGAAAAGAAATCAAATACTGCGTACCAGCACAAATCACATCAGCTGTCAAGCACAGTAGTGGAGGGATGTTGATTTGGGCTTATTTTGCAGCCACAGCACTTTACAGTGTTAAACTAAAAGATTCTAGAGTCAAATGTGAGGTGTTCTGTCTGAGAGCTAAAGGTTGGCCCAAATTAAAATACAAAGGACAATGATCCCGTGCACAGCAGCAAATCAGGCCTCAGCCTGATTGAAATACTGGAGATCTGTACATAGGTGAATGTCTGTAAAGCTCAATGAAAAGAAGCAACACTGAAAGGCACAGTGGGAAAAACTTCTACACAACCATGTGAGAGACTGATAGACACACAGTGAATGATTGCTTCCAGTTGCTCATGAAGCTGGGGTGTGCTTAGTTTCTCACATGACTACACAGAGTCCTGCAAAGCTTCTTTCTTTCTTTCTTTCTTTCTTTCTTTCTTTCTTTCTTCTTTCACACTCATAGATCCCAATAACAACAAGCAGAATGACAAAACCTTTGCCTTAAACTGAAGATCCTGAAATGTGTCAAAGGAACCGTTGGAGAACAGAACATCACAGATGTAGAAGTTGGCAGGGGGAAAAAAGAGAGCGCTCCATGTTTGGTAGATAGATGAAGGAAGATTCATCAAAAGGCAAATTAATCAAAGGACATCAACAGCAAATGGGGAAGGGA